TGATACCAAAGAGTGGTTGTGCGTGGAAGGCAGTGCCTTCAAAAACGCACGTTGGAAGACCGCCACTCATCCAAACCATCCAGGTTGGGATGGAACTTTAATTTACGGCGGGTTGTATGGTGGTGAAAATCGGCAGCAGGTATCAATCAATACAGCAAGCAACAAGCAAGAACAGTCTGTATTGTCAAACGAATTCAAAAAGCAACTGCTTGTTAATTTGCCTGTACTTTTTTTATGTATGACGACATGCGATAGGTATTTATTTCGATTTTAAATTAAAACTGTTGATAATTCTTGTATTATTGAAAGAGTTTAGGTATTCGCGTACCGCGTTGATCAAGATTTATGACTTTTTTCTTTTGTAAAACAACTCTCAAAACGAACATCGGCTGCACCTTTTAGAGATTCTAGGAATTAAATTCAAAGACAAAGTTTACAATTCAAAGAATTCTCGATCCATTACAAATTTATATTAATAAACGACGATCCCCGAATGTCAACATTCATTCTGCAAACATTCGTTATTTCTTCTTTTCCTCTTTTCTTTATTTAATTAAATAACATTATTATATATATATAAATAACATTATTGTTATATATATGTTTGTATATGATAATATTTATATAATAGTGCGCCACCTACCCTTTGTCTTTTTCCCAATGTCCTCTACCCAAAGGTTGTCTGGAAGAGATTGCTTAGCGATAAGGCCGCCTTTTGTATCACTTCTCATTAATATTCACTGTATTTGTTATTTCTCTTCTTACTTGGTGCAATAAAGTGTAAATAAATAAATAAATAAATAAAATATCTTTTTTTCTATGTCACTATTGTTTACTATGTAAAATTTTAAATGATTTATTATCTGTTTCGTTATAAATGTCAAATAAAAGAGATATAAAGTCAAATATTTTGGAATTCTTACTTTAAAATAGATTATTTTACTCTTAATAAGAAACTCATACCTAACCTACACGTAACATGCAATACAATGCACCCGTATTATATTTTAGCTCATATTTTATTTAAACAAAGTTTCAGAAAAAATCTTATACCTGCAGAACTCAGTGGCGGGATTTTATATTATAACTAGCTGACTCGGCAAACGTTGTTTTCCATATACATTATTTTTAGAACTATACATGAAAATTTATCGTACTACAATTATTATATTGGATTGCCATCTTGCAACCCTATTGCAGCATATAAAAATCGCGATTAAAAAATAGGAGTTGATCGTAGAACGCTGAAAATTTGAGGTTGTGTGTATTTTTTAATGCTAAATCATAATAAAATAAAAATGGAAAAATTTGTCAAAAAAAAATTTTTTTTTGGGGAGGGTCACACTTATCATTGAGGGGTATGAAAACTAGATGTTGGCCGATTCTCAGACCTACCCAATATGCACACAAAATTTCATAAAAATCGGTATAGCCGTTTCGGAAGAGTTTGGTAACAAACACCGCGACACGAGAATTTTATATATAAGATTAAGCGAAACTATAATCGTAGTATGTCTTTAAGAGTATGAAATGTAAAAAAAAAACTCAGATTAACTATTTCTAATATTATAAATGTTGAAATCACTTTTATATTTATAATTGTTTGTTACTTCTAGATGTTTTAATGACTCTATTGATCATGATAAAATTTAGTATTGTAATTAAGTAGCACTGGCTGTATCCCGCGTCTTTACCGACGTGAATCAGTACATAAAATACGAGTATATTCCATGTTATAAGTTAGGATATAACCTATCCGTGTATCATGTATTAATCAATTCCGTTCAGTACTTTTTGTGTGAAAGAGTAACAAACATTCTTCCGGCCATCGTTACAAACTGTCACATTTATTATATTAATAGGATTTCGGTTGGGGAAGGACATAGGCCGCTTTTTATACATCATCATCATTCATCATTTCAGCCATTATCTGTCCACTGTTGGACATAGGCCTACATCATAGACTTTTTTTTATTTATTATTTTTTTATACAACTTAGAATGGCAAACAAGCTAACGGCCCACCTGATGGAAAGTGGTAAACGTCGCCTATAGACATGAGCAGTACCATGGACATAATAGAGTATACTGTTTCGCCCATAATACCCCCCACACGTTGCCATTCCTGAGGACTCAGATATTATTCCTCCGTACCCTGTAAATTCACGTCATATCCCACCCTTCAAACCGAAACACAGCCATGCAAACACAACTGCTTTACGGTTGAAACACGAATGGGACAGAGGTGTCCAAGCAAACGACTTTTGTACAAAGTCTCCCTCTGGTAAAAAAATTATATAAAGTATAAAAAAGTTACAAAATACAGTATAAAAGTAAGACAATGATTGTCAATTTGTAATCGAAAATAGTGATTATTTCAATTCATGATAATGATGACAGATGAGTAATGGAGTCATCTCGAGTTGACATCTAACCGCGAAACCGCGTTATTTTTACTTAACCCAACTAAAATATATAACCGCAACAAAGAAATAATTTACATAATAAGAATGTAAAGGAATTGAGAAAATCAATTCTTTAACGTCAAGCTTAACTAGTATAAGTTTAAGACATTGTATTAAATCGTGTGGTTTCGAACTTAGGCCTGTGCTTAGACGTTACAAGATTGAATATTTTTTAGTAGAGTATATATATATATATATATATATATATATATATATATATATATATATATATATATATATATATATATATATATCTTATATATAAAATTCTCGTGTCGCGGTGTTTGTTACCAAACTCCTCCGCAACGGCTTTACCGATTTTTATGAAATTTTGTGTGCATATCGGATAGGTCTGAGAATCGGCCAACATCTATTTTTCATACTTCTCAATGATAAGGGTGACCAACCCCTAATTATAATTTTTTTAACAATGTTTTTTATTTTTATTTTATTATGATTTAGCATTGAAAAATACATACAACTTCAAATTTTCACCCTTTTACGATCAACCCCTATTTTTTTATCGCGATTTTTATATGCAGCAATAGGGTTGCAAGACGACAATCGAATATAATAATTGTAGTAGGATACATTTTCATGTATAGTTCTAAAAATAATGTAAATGGTAAAACAACGTTTGCCGAGTCAGCTAGTATATACAATACATTTTAATTTTTATATATATACGCACTCATCTGAAACAATTCGACCGATTTTTATGTATTTTTTTTTATATAATGCATCTCAGGTCGTCACTCCATCTAGTGGAAGGTCGTCCTACACTGCGTTTGCCCATACATTCTATTCTTCGAGCTACGTGACCAGTTCGTTCAGTGGGAGGTTTCAAATATTTTGTTGTTTTTAAATTTTTGATTTACGACATTTTTTTTCTATTATATTCTACAGCTTGTGTAGATGATTTATTTCACCATATACATATGTATATACGTACACACGCTTCCTATTAACTTTTTCAAAACGATACATTAACATAGATTGTATTTATAATTCTTTTATGCAACTTAGAATAGCAAATAAGTTGACGGCCCACCTGATGGGAAACGGCAACCATCGCCTACAGACATGAACAGTACCAAAGTAAATAGTCATAAAGGTCGTTGTTTCTTTAGAAATATATGAAGATTCTTAAATACAAATATTTAGGGGGGAAGGCATTCTATTATGGGATTTATTAAGGATAGTATTTATTGAGATGGTATTTATTATATTATGATAGGATGTATTGATTGCGGGCTACCAGTCCCATTGCTAGCAATATTTATACCTTATCAGGTCGACTTCCACGTGGTCCCCTCTGGAAACCATCGTGCGGAATTCCAAGTGTATTCATCACGATGGGCTAGCAGGCAGGATGACCTGCCTTTTATTCTCACCTATCCCTCACTGGACCCCGCCAGCGTATACCGTTAGCGCAGGTGGGGTACCATTCCATTACCATTCATAAAAAAAAATATAAATGTTCGAGCAATATCGTGAAGTTACAGTGAGAATAATAACTTCAAATTTATCTCTCAATCACACTCAGACACGAGTTAACGACATAACATATGGCGAAAATATTTTTAATATCGCCTGATCTAAACCATAATAATATTTCATACGATGTTAAAAATGAAAGTTACTTTACTAAACTAAGCTAATCTTGCAGTATGTGCTTTAATGTCTAAGAATAAAAAAAAATGAAATGTAATTTTAATCAATTATAATTTAGACATTGTATAAACGTAAAATAAATACTAATTGAAATGAATATATGTTTAACCCTATGTACTCGTATATTATAAAAATCTAACCGAAATACAGTCACGCAAGCACAGCTGTGTGGAAGAAATGCGAGTGGGACAGGGGTACCCGAACAGAGGGGGGGAGGGTTAGGGAGGAGAGCAATTGTTAGTTTTTTTTTTTTTACAACACGGGGCAAACGAGCATGCGGCTCACCTGATGGTAAATGACTACCGCCGCCCATGATCACCCACAACACCAGCGGCATTGCAGGTGTGCTACATATTAGATATATATATATATATATATATATATATATATATATATATAGAATTTTGGAGTCTTCAAAAATAATATACTTATGTATAGTTATTTTTTTTTCAAGGATTGATTATTGATATTGTATGATGGAGTGACGACTTCAAATCCATTGCAATGTCAATGGTTGCAGGTGGCTTAGGATTCCATTTCTTCTTATAGCAGTCTATGGGGGAGGCCTATGTTCAGCAGTGGACACATAATCGCTGAGATGATGATACGTGAAAGAAATTTTAAAATCGGTTGAGTAATTTTTGAGTTTATCCATTAAAAATTTTTTCTCTTTATTAGTATTAGTAAAGAAAATGATAAAAAAAATTGAAATCTTAATATACAGCGAACTTGGTGTATTTATTTGAGAAAAATGTTGAATTTCACTCATAGATGCACCGTTAAAAGTAAGCCTATGATATCGATCTCGCTCGAACTTTATGTCCTCGAAAGAGTTAATTACAAAAATAAATCATTTACTCACATTAAAGATCCAAATTAGAAAATAAACGCCCCTTTTTATCACTTCACAACACACAAATACCTGTATTAATATTTCCAAAGGAGAATAAAAAAAAAACAGTATACAAAAACGCGTGTTACTTAATATAGTCGCGTAGTTTTGCGTAACTGACCGCACGTTCGTTACACGAGAACGGCGAACAAGTACTGGCAATCTGGGTTCGATTGATGCGTTGCGCCGGCGCAGCGCAGGTTGTATACAAAATGATAATAATAATAATTTAGTTTATTTCTAAATTAATGTTACAAACACCTTTAAACATAGGTGAAATCCTGTTCCCTAAATAGGTAAATCCTGTACTTTACGATAAGCAGTAATGGCGGTGATTTTTTTTTAAATGGGTGATAATGAAATAGTAACCTCGCTTGCGCTACTGGTATACGCTGGCGGGCCACCAGTGAGGGATGATAGGTGAAAATTAAAAGGCAGGTCAGTTAGCCCATCGTGAAGAATTCCACGAGAAGTAACCACGATGGTTTCCAGGGGGAACTGCGTGGAATTCGACCTGATTAGTAAGATTGCTAGCAATGGGGCTGGTAGACCCCATCGCCAACAATCCCTTTCCCCCCGAAGGCGATGATTACAATAATGCTACGCTGAAAGGCAGTGTTAATAATGGAGTCCAATTGTTAGTAATATGCCCTAATAGTAGGCTTACTCTTAAATCTATAACCTATATCAATCCAATCTAATATCAATGCCAATTTCGTACTGCACTCATGAAATAACAATTAGGAATTCTGTTAAAATTGGGATCGATTTACAATAGTTTATATTATTATTTATAGATATTATATTATATCTATCTATCTATCTATCTATCTATATATATATATATATATATATATATATATATATATATATATATATATATATATATATATATATATAATATATAATTTTTTGTATCTTTTTAATGCGTAAGAACTCATTTTATTTATTAAATATAGATAAAAACACTGATAAAAACAAAGCGAGTCAGCTAATTTGACAATCAGCTGACAAAAAGTTGACCCGTTTTTGAGACTCGATACTCTATCTATATAATCTTTTTTTTAGATAAAAAAAAGAATTTTTCAAATCGGCTTATAAGTGACGGAGTTCTGAAGTTTCAAACATAAAAATATATAACCGAATTACAAAGTCGGTTAAAATTCCCCTCCATCTAATAGTAAGTAGTATTTACAACAGTAAGGTATGTTTGAATCAATGTCGAAACTATCATCAGCCCAATCAATGTTGATTTGCATGTGTTGGTCGGAGTTCGTGACCCAGTGTTCATAAAACTGAGGCCACGAATTCGATGCATCGGCAAATTTAACACAGACAATTTTAACAGCGATTATTTTATGCAACTTCAAATGGCAAATATGCTGACGGCTCATTTTATGGAAAGCTGTAAGCGTCGCCTATAGACATGAGCAGTACCATGTACATAACAGAGTATACTGTATCGTCCATGATACCCCTCATGCGTTATTATTCCTGAGGGTTATGTCTCTGTATTCTGAAATTTCATTGAAACTGAAACATATTCTTTAGTCTTTCTTTATTCCTTATTGTACACAAACATAATTTTAAACACAATCTGAATGTGTTGAATCTGAATCATAGTCATGCAAATACAATTGCTTTATGGCAGAAACACAAATAGAGCAGAGGTACTCAAGTAAACGACGTTTGTACAAAGTCTCTCTCTGGTAAAAACTTGTTTATCATTGTCAACATAAAAAAAGATAAATTATAAAAGATTGTGATAACTGGTTTGATTTCTGACATTAATTCTTGTAGATTACCTCAACTCAGTACTTCGAAATATAGCAAACTCAGAAATCTAAAATTGGATAGATCAATTTCACTATAATACACACTCAGTTTATCTTTTTGCAATTAGTTATAATTAATAATTATTTATTTTATTTATTTATACTTTATTGTACACAAAAATTACATAGTTAAAGTCTATATTCAAAGAAGATGTACAACAGGCGAGCTTAACTCTGTAAGAGTTCTCTTCCAGCAAACCCTGAGCGGAAAGGAGCATTAATTACCAGCGGGCAGTGTGCGTACAATAAGAAGAGGAAACAGTATAGTATTAGAGGGAAGGGACTTTTAGTAATGGGGAGGTTAGTCCACATTACTATCAGTATCAGGTCGATCTCCACACGGTTCCCCCTGGAAACTATCGTGACTAATTCATCGATGTATTCGTCACGATGGGCTAACTGATCTACCTTTTCATCCTCACTTATCACCTTTCACTGGTACCCCGCCGGTATACACCAATAGCGCAGGCGCGGTAACCATGCAATTTTCACCCATTAAAAAAAAATAGTATAGTACCTACGAGTAGTTACTTATTATTATATATTTATTATTTCTTAGCACTACTTATTGGTGGGGGGAAAGGGATTGTTAGCAATGGAGTTTGACAGCCCCACTGCTAGCAAACCATCGTGAACAATTCTTGTTGAATTCGTCACGATAGGCTAACTGACCTGCTTCATCCTCACCTATCATCCTTCACTGGTGCCCCTCCGGTGAATACCGATAGCGCGGGTGGGGTTACTATTCCATTATCATCCATTAAAAAAAACACTACTTATTGGTACTAAGAAGTACGAATTCTTTTTTTTTATTAGTAACACAATATAATTATTGGAATTAATGAAAAAATATCAAATTTATAATGGGAAGTTAAGCTCGCGGTCCGATAGACGACCTACTCATTTCAGCTTTAAAGACAACTTCGCATGCTAATGTATGAATGCCTTTATATATGCGAATTTATAATGTTTACTGTATTTTGCAATATACATATGTGCTTTTACTATAGTATTCTGTATGCAGAAACAAACTGGAGTTATGATTACTCAGTTCCAAGTCAAAAACATTTTTAATTACTTGATTCTGAAAGTACTATATCATTGGGCGAATTGTGAATATATATATATGTGTCGTCTACAGGAATGTTATAAAGAGGAAAGATTTGTATTTTTGTGTGTATGTTTTACCGGAGGAAGACTTTGTACAAAAGTCGATTGCTTGGGTACCTCTGTCCCATTCGTGTTTCTACCGTGAAGCAGTTGTGTTTGCATGGCTGTGTTTCGATTTGAAGGGTGGGATATGGCGTGAATTTACAGGGTACAGAGGAATAACACCTGAGTCCTCAGGAATGGCAACGCATGGGGGGTATCGTGGGCAAAACAGTATACTCTGTTATGTCCATGGTACTGCTCATGTCTATAGGCGAAGGTTACCACTTTCCATCAGGTGGGCCGTCAGCTTTTTTGCCATTCTAAGTAGTATAAAAAAAATGTTTGTAATGAATAAACTCAAAAACTACTTTGCCGTTTTAAAAAATTCTTTCATCATTAGAAAGATACATTCACCCTGAGTGACATAGGCTATATTTATTGCTAGAAAAGATTAGGGATCCTTACTAAAACTTTAGTAACGTAACTCAAGGTGTAAAAAAACGCTATAAAATATCTTACGTTGCGTGCGCTGCGAAAACTATTGGTGATAGAACAAAAGTATGTTCTACAATATTGAAGAAAATATCAAAAACTACAAAAAACTTTGCGATCCTTAATGTCCAACTATTATCGTTATATCAACATAACCACTGTTTAAAATGTTGTAAAAATGCCGGGTGGACTGTTTATATATAAATATATTCTTGTATATTTATTTACCGTGTGGTCCCAGCATAAAAAAGGTCACTCCTTAATTTTTTTTATACAACTTAGAATGGCATTGAGCCTTTCCCATGGGTGTCGTAAGAGGCGACTAAGGATATTTAAGGGTCGAGGAATAGGCAACAGCGACCCTCTTAAAACATCTCCAAAGCCTGTCGGTGGAGTACCAGTGAGGGATGATAGATGAGTATGAAAGCAGGTCAGTTAGCCTATTATGTTGAATACAAGAAGTATTCCAAGGGGAACCGTGTGGAGATCAACCTGACAGGTCTTACTAACATTGGGGACATTATTAACAATCCCTTTCCCCCAGCGTATACCGTTAGTGCAGGCAGGGTTACCATTCCATTATTATCCAATAAAAAAACATCTGTGTTTTAAATTTGGTGTCCAAAGACAAAGATCAACTTTTTCTACCAGGTAATACCGTGAATTTGTTTACTATTCAAAGTTTTATAAAAAAATTTAGTTCTTGCCAATCTAATTTTTCCATTTGTTTCTATGACGTACAAAATGGCGAGACTATAAAAAATATCCCGACCTTTAATTCAAGAGTCATCGCGGAGTCGTTTATGAAACAACTAACCGGTTGGTAGTAAGTAGTTACATAAATGTGTTCGCATTGCGTCTGCGCGTGCGCAGTTAAGTAATAAAACGTTCTCCATTTGGTTATTGGTAACTGCATATGATTTAGTCAACGTAAACAATCAAATTAGAAGGAGATCACACTAATATAATGATATTGTAGCTAGCTGATATTATAGATAAATATTACGAGTATTTACCAGAGGGAGAATTTGTACAAAAGTCGATTGCATGGGTACCTCTGTCCCATTCGTGTTTCTACCGTGAAGCAGTTGTGTTTACATGGCTGTGTTTCGGTTTGAAAGGTGGGATATGGCGTGAATTTACTGGGTACAGAAGAATAACACCTGAGTCCTCAGGAATGGCAATGCATGGGGGGTATCATGGTCGAAACAGTATACTCTGTTATGTTTATGGTACTGCTCATGTCTGTAGGCGACGGTCACCACTTTCCATTAGGTGGGCCGTCAGCTTGTTTGCCATTCTAAGTTGTATAATTTTTTTTTTATTATTTCAATCGTTAACTGTTAACTACTGGACATAAGCCTTCCCCATGAAGGGAGTTTTGCCAGTAGTTGCCACGCTTGGCAAGTGGGTTGACAACCATAGTCAAGCTTTAAAGATGTTTTAAGAGGGACGCTGCTGCCCATCCCTCTACTATAAACTGAAAGTCGTCTCTTACGACACCCATGGAAAAGTAAAGGTGGCCCTTTCTATGCCGGAACCTTCCTAAAATATAGTGTTTTCACTTCATACGCCATTTAGAAGTAGTAAATATATTTCAAATTTAAAATTTTATCGTCTTTATTTAAATAGACTTGTTTACAAGCACTTTTAAATCGTCATT